AAAGAAGCGAGGAAGAAGAGTTAGGAATGACCAATGTGAATCTCTTTGTAGAGAGATGTTTTAATATCTCAATATTAACAAAAGTGAGAAATGAAGTGGAGGCATGTTTTAAATACTTGAGAATATGTTTAAAATTATATCAAGTTATGTCACTCTAAATGGAAGATGACATATAGTAAGTGTGTATTAGAAAAGTAGAAAATTTTTAAAATAGCTCTTTTAATATTAAGGTGAAAATTGAAAAATAATGTGAAGCTTGATGTTTATGAATAAATGCATAAAGTTGACATTCTCACAACTTAAAAATATGCTCACAATCTTCTGAGAAGTAAAACATAGGACGGTTCTAATACAGGGTGTGGGAAGAGACAATCAACATCGTTTAGTGGTGAGAGACTTCCGAAAGCAATTAAGAACGGAAATTGCGAGATCAAAGATTGGAGGGTAAAAAGTGTGATGACGGTATGAATGCAAAGGTGGTCTTACACGTGGAAGGAGGGTGACATGGCAACATGGGGTAGGAAGGAACAGAAAACTTAAACGTCAGACAATTACTGCCCTGGGAGTTCATGTTCCATGGACCAGCTGCAATAGCAAACACATCAGAAATAAGATAGGACCAAAGAACCAGCAATAATTTGAATTCAAGTAAGCAGAGGGATGGAATCAAGAAGATGAATATTCCTACAGATGGGATGTAGAAGAAAAATTAAAGAATAAGAAATAGCTCATAAATTAAAGCAAGGTAAAATGAATTCTTTGTTAGGTCAGATAGATCTAGTTCTGCCTAGGTTGTAAGTTTGTATATATCCTGGTCATAAAATAAAAGTATAACCTTTAAAGAGATTAAAACAAGTTAAAGTTAAATGAAAGATATACTCTGCGCTTATTTTTGTTTAAAAATTGTTCTATAATTTTGTATGAAATACCTCCAAATCTTCTAAGAATTTTGCTTGGAAAAGATGACACAAAAAAATCACTTGATATTTCCAAGAAAAAAAAAAGGATATAAATTGTTAGGACAGTATTATATAAATGTATTGTGGAATTAGCTCCAAATTAGCCTAAATATTTTTAAATGTTTTTTCTTAGAATTCTACAGTATTTTAGAATACTATAAATATAATTTTAAAATAACCAATGTGTATAGTATATGTCTTGATTTTAAGACTTGAATTATTTTTAAATATTTGATTACTATCTATCCAAAAATAAAGTATGTATTGTTTCCATTTCTCTGTGAAGTGGTAGCCTTTGTAACTCTATTCTGCTTTTCAGACAACTTAAGTGATTTAAAAGATGTTAAAGTCAGAAGCCTGTTATTTATCATGATTAGTTATCATTTATTATCAAGAAACTCTCCTAATTCATTAAGTAGCAACCAAACTGGTGTATGTTCCATCAAAAGAAACTCAGAATCCATGGAAGCATTGTGTCTCCTTGAAGAAACAGGATTAAAATAGACACATATGCCAGCATTTTCTACAAATAGAACATCAGTAATCCCCTCTCTCTTTTTCAATCATACTATGAAAATTCAGCAGAAAAAAGAAAATTCTAGGGACCCTGGTGGGTATTTTTTCCAGGGTGAGAGAAGCAATCAATAAAGCAATAGTTCTCAGCTCCATTTTACTACTTGTTTCTTCTCGTTCAAAAAGAGAATTTGCATAAATCTAATATATTGAGTAACTTTTATGTTATTATTTACGATAACCTTTCCTTCAAGGCAAGAATAAAAGACAGCTCTGGGGACTCATGGGTATTGAAAGAAGACATCTAACAGCAAATCAATAAAGCAGTGACTGCTGACTTGTGAGAATGAAATGAGAGGAATTCTAAAACACAGCATCATGATATTAAGATATTTGGTAAGACTATTCATACATATATGCTAAGAAAAGGATGATAAGCAAGGGGTCAAATTTTCATTTCTTAAGCAGTCTTGTCACTCATTTTAAACTTTCAAACTGAGCCATGTTCGGAATTACCATAATCTTAAACTGGATCAGAGCTAAGTGTATGTCTGAAAATTTTTAACATACATCAAATGATTTAAAGAATTAGCCTCCCCTATAAAATGAGCCTCAGTATTAAATGTGCCTTGAAGCTATGTATGGGCCCAAATATGGATTTAGTCTAATGAAGTCAAGTTATACAAGAAAAGAAATTAATAATAATGATTGTTACTCTTCCTCCATTTATGTGTTTAAACACAGAGGAGAAATTGGTGGGGCTGCTAAAATCCTTCCTCAGGCACATTCTATAGATAAACAGAGGACTTTGTTCCCTGGATCTTTTCATTCAGAGCCTTTCACAAGTTGTGAATTCCCTCTAAAAGCACCTATCAGCATGAATAAACTGATAAAAGCAGATGTGTGAAATGCCTTTCACTTAACTAACAGGCATAACTCCAAATTCTAGAACCCCCAAGGCTTTCATCTGAAACCCTAACCCATGATGGTAGTGAACATGGTTTGATAGAAGGTCCTTTACTAATGTTACAAGATCTCTGGCCTATTGTGGCATGATAGTTAATGGAAAGTTTTGTCAGCCATAACCCATTCCTGTACAGTCTTTCAGGTTAGGCCCTGTGAGTGTGGTACTCCATTTTGTTAAAAAAAAAAAAATCAGATTAATAAATCCATTCCGGCTTCCCAGAGCATTTATTCATTTGTTCATTCAGGAGCTGCCACCCTGGGGGACAAGGGGGTGACAAGTTATGCCCCACGCCTTCAAAGTCCGGTAAAGACTTCACGCCTATAGCCAGGTTTATTTAAAAAAAACACACACATGGGAAAAACTGAGAGAACTGGAGGGCGATGTCGACAAGTTGACAGTAGTGGGATATCTCGATTATTAATAGATCAAGAGGATAAAAGTATTTTTATTTGCTCTTTACTTGTGAAGAGTAAATAAAACCTTGGTGGAAGGAATATACCTAGAACCTCGCAGAGAAAATCGGCATTTTTCTCAAGCACCCATGGAATGTTTTTTCAATAGTCAAACTAGTTCATAAGAAAGTCTCAATATCAAAGGATTTATATCACAAAGAAAAATAAGATAACAGTAACACAAAGGTAAATTTAAAATCCCCACATAGAGATCAGCTCGGTGCTCTGTGACCACCTAGAGGGGTGGGATAAGGAGGGTGGGAGGGAGGGAGACGCAAGAGGGAAGAGATATGGGAACATATGTATATGTATAGCTGATTCACTTTGTTATAAAGCAGAAACTAACACACCATTGTAAAGCAATTATACTCCAATAAAGATGTTAAAAAATAAAAATAAATAAAAATAAAATCCCCATATATTTAGAAAATCTAAGATCCTTCTACATAATTTATAAAAAAAAGAACTAAAAAATAATAATGAAAATACATATTGACACTTGTAGGGTTCTAAGCAGTATTTCATTTATTAGATCCTTAAACTCTTACAATAGAAAAGAGATGATGGGATAGATATCTTAATAAAACAAATATGCAATACAGAGAATCAAGAAAAGCAAAAATTGGCTCTCCAGGAAACCTAGTAAAATGGATAACCTTCTGGTGACAATGGTAACATAAACTTAAAGAAGGCAGAAACAGTCCATACCATTAATGAAAAGGAAGATACAACAACAGGCAAAGAGACTAAAATGATAATAAGACTGTTATGGACAAATCTATACCAACAAATTGGAAAATAGACTAAATGGACAAGTTATTAGAAAGATACACGTGTTCAAAATGGATTCAAAAAGAAATAGAAAGCCTGAGTGTTCTAGCTTATTTGAAAATCTTTCATCAGTAGTTTAAAATCTTTGCCCAAGAAGAAAACATTTGGCCTAAATGGTTTTATATGACTTTTCCATATTATCCTACTTTTTTTTTTTTTTTTTTTTTGCGGTACACGGGCCTCTCCCTGTTGTGGCCTCTCCCTGTTGTGGCCTCTCCCGTTGCGGAGCACAGGCTCCAGACGCGCAGGCTCAGCGCCCATGGCTCACGGGCCCAGCCACTCCACGGCATGTGGGATCTTCCCGGACCGGGGCACGAACCTGTGTCCCCTGCATCGGCAGGTGGACTCTCAACCACTGTGCCACCAGGGAAGCCCTATCCTACTTTTATATAAATTCTTCCAGAAAATGGGAGTCACTCTCCAACTCATCCTGAGGTTTGTATCTGTTGCTTTGACTCCAAAGCAGACAAGACAGGGCATGGCAGGAGTTCAGAACAATCTCTCTCAGGAACATAGAAGCAAAATTCCTAAATAATGCATTAGCCAACCAAAATGAGCCATGAAATTAAAAGGAAAAAAAAAATGATGACCAAATTGGGTTTATACTGGGAAAGCAAGGGGGAGGTTTTAAATAAGGAAAAAAATTCTGATATGATTCACATTAAAAAATCAAAGAAAGAACCACATAAGCATTTCAATAGATGGAGAAAATCTATTTGATACAACAACATCCATTCTTGACCCAGAAGTGTTACCAAACAAGAAATAAGAGATCCTTCAACAAGATAAAGGCACCCACAAAAAACCTAGACCAAATATAATTCTTAATGATAAACATTTTGAAGCATTCCCTTTAAAGTCAGATTTTGAATGACATTGACGTCTGTAAATTAGAAGTCATCAGAAAGAATATGAAGGACATAAATCGAGACATGATATTTGTAATATGCATAACGGAAAATATCTATTAGTGTCTGTAATGTAGAACCCAAGATATCACTAAGAAAAAAACAACCATATACAAATCCAGTAGCAATGGACACAAACAGCCATCCATACAAATGGCCCGAAAACGTGAAAAGATTCTCTGCCTCATTAGTAATCACTGAAATGTAAGACAATGAGATACTATTCTATACCCCTTAGATTGCAAAACATTATGAAGTTTGACATTAAGTTTCAGAGTATGTGGACCAATGGAAATACTAGCAGTGTTGGAAGTAGGATTTAGCACCACTTTGGAACACAATTTGACATAAACTTTTAACATTTACTTACCCTACAACCAGGCAAATTTTCAGAGAGGGAAACCCTTGCACACATGTATGAGGCAGGTACACGCATCTTTATGACTGTGACAGCAAAGAAAACAAAGATGAAACAACCCAAATGTTTTTCAACACCTCAGTGGGTAAGCTGGAGCATGTTCACATCCTGTGAAGTATTACATGATCAAGATTCAAAGAAATTCATTATTTAACACCATTTTTCTCCTCCTGGAAGTGCTAGCGCTGACCCGTAGGTGCAGAACAACAGATGCTCAGCAGGAAATCTTGAGCCTCGCTAATCAGAGTGTGGACCAAGGGAGCATCATGGGATCACCTGGGAACTCGGTAAAAATGTAAAACCTCTGGCCCCATCTCAGAGCTACTGGGTCACAGTCTATATTTTAACAAGATTTTATGTTCGTTAAAATTTGAGGAAGTACTGACCTACAGTAGCTGTGTTCATTATTCACTAGAGCATCGGCTACTCAGACCCTCTGTGACATCCAAGTACTGCTTCCTGCAATCCTAGCATTCATTCAAATACACACGAACGTAGGAAACATTTCTTGAGTCCCTACTCTGTGCCAGTCACCTGACTAACTGTTAGGGACACAAATAAAATACTCTTTGGTTTCAGTCTGAAAGAGCTCACAGACTCATTTATATACATACAAAGACACATTTGCCCAAGTTCTATAACCTGACATGACCAAATCGCTTTTATACTTTTCCTAATGCTATGGTAACTTTCCATAATGTTTATATAATTGTGCACGTATCCATTTCATTCTCATCTTCTGTCTTATATTTCTACGATGAATAGTGATCGTGACTCCTTTCTAGTAATACAAAATATGTGTATCAAGTTTGTGTCACATCACGTTCAAACCATTTTAAGAGCTTGGGTAATAACCAAACTCTGGCTTCCTTTTGCCCTTAAGCTGAGAATAAAGCACAGTTTTTCATTGGATGCTCAATTCGTAATAAGCTATACTTGCATATATATTACTCTTTAAAATGTCTATAATGTTTCCATTCTACATAGAAACATGCTGGCTCTAACCCTTATACATCCTCTCTGATACAGGTGTGTTACCTTAGACTCAGACCCCATGAGTGTACCACCCGACTTGGATGGTAAATGGCCCTCGGTAAGGTTTGGAACCGAGAAATGCAAATATACCTCATTTTACACAAGAGTTGCACATTTTACGCAAGAGTTGCATTCCTAGAAAACCCACTACTAAAGCCACATCAAAAAACCAAGACATAAAACAGAGTTCTTGGTTTGGATAATTTTAAACAGGGTTTTTTGGTTTTTGTTTTTAACGTGAAAGATTATCTGGTAAGACAGTAATTTGTGCAAAATTCTGGGTAATTTTTTGTAGTGTAACACGGACCTGACCTTTTCACAATGCCTAATAGCCTTGGCTTCTATCCAAGCAGCATCATGGCCCCCAGTTCATGGTGACAACAAAAATGCACCCCTCCCAAAAGCTCCCGAGACGAGAAATCCTCAAGGAGGGCAGCACAGCCCAACTGAGACCACAGCTCTGAACAGACTTGCTGAGGAGTTTCCCACCTTTGACCCTACATTGCCTTTGGAAAGAAGCCCATTGTCCCTGTGCCTATAATATTATAAGTGGACACTTACTTCCATCGCTTCTGTAGTTCCTTTTCGCTGAACACACTGCGGTGTCCCTACCAGCTAGCAAGGGCAACGATTACATATTTAGAAATTTTACAAGCCAGCTGAAGTCATGTTGATAGTTTAAAATAGACCATAGTGGGAATATTTAGACAACAGAAATTGGCAAATGCTACAAGAGTCAGGGCTTGTTGTTTTGTGGCGGGGAGGGCCAGTGAGTAAATACTTAACAGTACGTCCCTGATTTAATATGAAGGACCTTTGGCAACTTCCTCTTATTCTCAGTTTTACATATTCACGTTCAAGTTCCCTTTATTGCAGCACATACATTTACTCTTCTGACTGACAACGCCGGGGGATATTACTCCCGAATGAGCCATGCTAGTTTTCAATACATGATGTCAGAAGCCACCAGACACCTGCTCGGCTTTCATGATTGAAAAACTTACCCTTCATTTCAAGGTATGAAAATTGCCTGTGGTTCACTTTTTCAAGGCACTAATTAAGATCTACTTGTAACAAAACACACACACAGCTCCAATCATAGTAGGAAAAGAGTTGTTGTTTTTTTTAATCTGTAAGTGGTGATAAGGCATTTCGTTGAAGGAAGAACTTAAAAAGGCGGGTGACAGGGTAAGAATAGAGAGGCTGAAAAGTTCTTCTCCACCGTGGTTGGCCCTGCAGCCTGGGTTCCAGCCCCAGTGACTGGCAGGGTGAGGTCACAGGCCGGTGTAGCTGCTCAGGGTAACAATGGGCACTTTGATCCCACAGAGCTAATTTGACTGAAGACATAAGAAGTTTGGCTCACAGACTATTGGGCCTGGGCCCAGAAATCTGCACCCTGAGGAAGGAGAGGCCTGGACACACCTGCCTATTACCTTGACCCCTGGAATTGCCACGGGTGGGGGTGGCAGTGGGGTGCCTCCCAGGCTGGGATAGGCAGTAAAATGGGAAAGTGAGGGGCAGAGGACAGGGCGGCTGCCTCACAGGGACCAGGTCTGCCACACTGTCTGGGAGCATCTGGTTGAAGATGCTTTTTGCAGCTACTAGAAATAACCAAGATCTATTTAAAAAAAAAAAACTAAGCCAGGTAGAAGCTGTTAATTCAGCAGATATCTGGGTTCCATTTCAACGAGAAACACCCCTTAGTGGGACTATCTGGGTACCCAGCTCTGACTTTGTGAGTTACTGTTAAACTAGTGGTTCCCTAACTTTAATGGAGGAAACGGTTCCCTGGGAGGCTAAATTAAAATGCAGATCCCTGAGCCCTAACCTCGAGATCATCATGCTTAGGGTTGGGTGGGGTCTGGGGAGCTGAAGTTTTTAACTTAAGACATCCAACATACATGCTGAACTAACCCTTTTTTATTTCTGAGCAAAAAAAAAAGTTGCTTCTATTCTTGAAGAAGTTCACCTTCCCATGATCCAATAAGATTTGTACATTAATTCTGACAAAAACGGAATTTATGCACTTGCCGGCTGCTCCTCTCAAGTAATTCTTAAGAATATCATTTACGGGTGATTAAATCAGATTTTAAGGGTTTAACATTTTGCAGAGAGAAATTTCACCCCAAAGAAGGAAGGACCCACACATGTTCAATAAACAGAATGTTACAAATTATTTCCATTCGTGATGGGCAAGCCAGAAGATCCCTTACAGCCAGGTTAGCTAACAAGAAATAAAATGAATTAAATTCTTCACTGCTTTGAAGGGCATATTAATTCAGGTAGAACAAAATGTGACAAAGATGCCGTAAACATGTGTTCCCACTCTGCATTCCTTCCTCTGCACCACAAACCCACAAACCTGACCTTCAAATTCTCTCTGCACAACAGTGACATAATCCAGTGACAATGTCAAAAATGTTTTGTTTCTTTTTAACCTAAGACAATAGTTTATCTAGTCATTCCTTCATTCTCTCGCTGAAGAGATCGGCTCTGGCATTGTTTCAAAACAGTAACAGCCGAGTTGGAGTAGAAAAGCATTGTGTTCAGTGTGGAACTTGCAACGCAGAACAAATTCATCAATGTCATATAGAAGTTTATTGGTCTTGCACCAAAACAAACAAAAAGATTCCCAGTCTCAAGTTCATGAGGTCTTGATTTTTAATTCCGCTTTTAATTCCCTAAAGTTCATTATGTCCAGGAAGAATGTAAGATTTATTTCTCCCCTAACTTCGAGGCAGGTGAATTTTCTAATCTTAGTATGAATGATCTATGTCTTGACCAAACGATCATTAGATGAAAGGGATTGCATGCGACACGTGGTAGGGCAGCTCCAAAGGGCAGTGGCCCCTTGTCCTAATTGAAATGTCAGTAGGTCACTAGGTCATCATGATGATTTCCAAGGGTATGAATTAAGTGATATTTTATGTCATGTATGACTATAATTTCAACATTTATGTTCTACTGCCTTGCATCCTAGTGCCAAAATTGTATTTCATAGCTTCACTAGACTCATACTTTGACTACCTAAAATAATTAAGACCATACAAGAGATGTCGAATGTTTGAACTCATACTGAAGATAACTGTAATTAACTAAATAGTCAATCTGCCCATTTTTACGGTTATTGACTCGCTTCCTAAACAGTATTACTGAATAGATTCATTCATCTAAACACTAAAATTTGATAGATTACAATTGAAAGTTAAAAGTATGAGTGAAGGGCTTCCCTGATGGCGCAGTGGTTGAGAGTCCACCTGCCGATGCAGGGGACGCGGGTTTGTGCCCCGGTCCGGGAAGATCCCACATGCCGCGGAGCGGCTGGGGCCCGTGAGCCATGGCCGCTGAGCCTGTGCGTCCGGAGCCTGTGCTCCGCAACGGGAGAGGCCACAACAGTGAGAGGCCTGCGTACCGCAAAAAAAAAAAAAAAAAAGTATGAGTGAAATACGTTTATGTGACATAGACAATTACATACTGGACCCACCAGGTATGACGTAGGGGTAGGTAGGTTTGGGGAGAAAAGAACAAGGGAATTTTGTTATGTAGTTAACGCGGTGGCTAACCAATAGCCCCCGTGACTGCCGACTGGAGACTGCTGTAGAGGTGATGAGCGGAGAAACAGAACTGAAGCTTTCTCCTTATTTCTTAAGATGTCATTGTTCTGAAGACAGCTAGCACTGGGCCACTTAATATGATTGACTTGCCAAATGTGAGGATTTAATTCTTCCGATTCAACAAAGGTTTATGTTAAGTTACAATACAAATAATACCACACCTTCCTAGCCAAAGGCTTCCTAAACGAAAAAACAAGCACTCCTAGACAACACCTTTAATTCATGTTTTTCAGAGGGTGCAGATGCAAATTATGCCGATATTAAAGAAAGATTTTGCTTTACAAAATCCTCTGTAAATATAAATAGCACATAAGGAGAGTTTTTAATTGATATTTTCATACGTATTTCTCCTCTTTACCATACCGCATAGCCTAAGGAAAATTGTACAAACAGTGGAAAAGCAAAAAGAAAAGTTAACAAATTAAGAGGGATATCACCCTCCAGGTTTCATATTAACAAAAGCAGTAAAACATTTTCTTAGCATGTAGAATAGTGGACCCATTTGGTGTTTTCCTCATTCAGGGGGCAAAAGAATAGCATTTTCTCAGAGGCATATTATAATAGCAATCTTCACAAAATTCATCATAGTACAGGAGGTCCTTCTCTCTAGGTGTTAACTGTTTATTATTTTGCTAAAGTGCTTGTCGGTAGTGGTCTAACTTTTTGCTTAAAATAAAGCATACTTTCAAAAAACACGCAGTTATAATCCACTGGGAATACCCAAAGATAGAAGGCCACGGTCTCTGCTGCTTAGGTGCTTATCATCTAGTGGAGGGGGAGAGATGTATACACAACTGACAGTGACACAGGCAGACAGCAGAAGGGGGGTCAGTGGAAACGGTATTTCTGGAAATAGTTTTGCCTTATAGCATCAGGAGTTATGGTGCTTGAATAAGTCATAAAAGGAAAAGGTTTTCACCAGGCGATGGTGCATAAAGAGGACTTTCTAGGAAACAAGATGAGAAAAGGCTCAGAGGTCCAGCAAGGTGAGATGATTTGGATAAATTAGGATGTAAGAGTATAAGTGATGAGAAGAGGGACCTGAGAACCAGGGATGGCAACAGGTGACAGAGATCCTCAAAACTGCACTAGAAGTTTGAAATTCATCCTATAGGTTTTGAGAAGCCATTGTCTATGTGGCAATGACTAGTTTTACCAAGAAAATGGAATGAGTAAGATTTCCTGGGATGAAGCACAGGTTGGGCTAAGAGGATGAGGTACAGGGTGGGAGAGGAAGGGATGGTGTGGTCATGAATGTTTTAAGATTCAACAGCAGGTAGAGCTCAGGGTAACATCAGGGCGTCTGTTGAAGGTGATCTTAACAAAAAGGAACAAATGAAGGAATTCTGATGTTTCATTTTCCAACCCGTTCCCACGCCAAAATAATTACACCAAATGGATCTTTTCATATTATCAGTGTCAAGACGACTGCACTAAATTAATGCGTACTTACGGAAAGGAAACAAGCCTTTCCTAAAAGAATATGTTGGTTGAAATGAGGGTTCACCAAATGTGATGAAAACAAATAGAAAGAAAGTGTGGTAATAAGAAATGGAGGGACTTCCCTGGTGGTGCAGTGGTTATGAATCCACCTGCCAATGCAGGAGACATGGGTTCGAGCCCTGTTTCTGGGAAGATTCCACATGCCGTGGAGCAACTAAGCCCGCGAGCTACAACTACTGAGCCCAAGCGCCACAACTACCGATCCCACACGCCACAACTACTGAAGCCCGAGCACCTAGAGTCCGTGCTCCCCAGCAAGAGAAGCCACCGCAATGAGAAGCCCTCACACTGCAACGAAGAGTAGCCCCCTCTCATAGCAACTAGAGAAAGCTCACGTGCAGCAACAAAGACCCAACGCAGCCAAAATTAAAATAAAATAAATAAATAATTTTTTTTAAAGAAGCGGTGCTAAAAAAAAAAAAGAAGTGGAGGAAGATTTGTAATCTATTTAGCAGGTGGTACTACTCAACTTGGTGACCAATGGTGAATGAGAGGAGAATGAGGAATCAAAGGTGACTCCAAGGTTTGTAGCCTGGTAACCAGGTATATATCTGTA